CTGATGAGACGCAATGAGGTCGAAACAGCTGTCCAGTGCTTCCCAGCTCATGCCTCATTTATGCGACGAATTCATCACTTAATCAAATCAAATCCTGCATTTCTCTCATATAAAAATAATCATTAGGACAAGACAGTGGACGAGTGAGTTACTTGTTTACTGAGTAACGTTGAACTAAATGGGAAGTTGAACAGTTACCTATACAAGTGAACTCTCAGAAAAAGTGTTGGTAGTGCAGTGAAAAAGAGACAACAAGACGGATGCATTCTACGGTTTTTCAGTGCCAGAGAGAGCGGATTCATTTCAAATAGTCCGCAAAAGCAGACGCCCAACTGGTGCCATGATCACTCGTCGTTGAGCCCTTGAATTCACTTATAAATAAATCACTATTACAGACGTTTACTCGGAAGCGGATACACTTCTGGGCATACGAAGACCAAGCACCCAAGTCAGGTCGAACAGACCCAGCGCACCTAGATAACCCCAGTCAGTTTTGGTTTTATGACGATCAATGAGGAGCTAGAGTTTTGTATCATTCAGATTTTCCGTTGCCCATTCGGGAATAGGGCTACTGAAAGAACATGAAGAGGGACTGGTTACCATATTCTGGGATAATGAATTTTCATATATAATTTTGACTCTATTTGATCTCTACCAACCAACCAAATAGCTACTTTTTCGTCTTCCTCCTGCCTACGTGTATTGGGTAATGTCGATAGTCTATTGCGACTACTGATATGCAATGATGTACTACGAGATTATATCTCCGAAAGCCTCGGTATGGTCGGAGTGAGTGTCTCTGGTTGCGACTGGTCAACATTGCCTTACCTCGCAAAATACTCCTATATGACCAGGCGTCTCAAATAGTGTCTGCCGAGGAAGCCCTGCTCATTGCCTTCCCGTGGGGGAGGTGTTTTCCTAGCAAAGTGAGAGGATGAAAAGCCAACATACGGGACTAGAATCTCGTTGGTGAACCAGGAGAGATGGTTAAAAGCCCTGATTCCAAACCAAACGAGAAGAGGCGTACGAACCACACGCACACCTTCCTGGTTGCGGCAGTGGTCACCGGATCAATTGGGCACGTTGGATGTTTGACCCCGTCCAAAGAGCGTATGATCCAATGTACTGGGCACCGCCCTCGAATGAACCGCGGACTCTGGGCTTCGTCCTGCTGTCTTGCAGGTCTGACTCTCTAGCCGAAAGCTTCGGGCGGGGTCTTCGAGGTTATCCCCTTTCCTCGGTCAGGGTAACCAGAAAGTAACATACCAGCACAACCTATAAACACATTCTACAGATTTCTTTCTGCTCATATGTTGTGGTACATTTGCCAATTCTGTGTAATTAGTTACTTGCTGAAATTTGAAAAAACTGAATATATTAACGAGTTCAGAAAAAAATACAAGAGTAAACTCTTGAGGAGCACGGTGCTCAGTGTATTGACTGTGATCGCGGAATCGATATATTATTCCCGATGATTGTATATTCTTTTGGTGTCCGAATGCGCAATAATAGCATAGCCATACTCCTCAAAGTGTAAAATACCCCTTCTCATCTGCGTCCGTTCAAGACCGAATCTGTCAATGATTAACTGAATGAGTAAGTCTTTTTCAATTAGGTATCTACATCTCACATACTAGTGGTGGAGCACCGGTCCGAGGTTCGAGCCTCACCACTATCACCCAACTTGGCGATGGACAGCTTTGCTGTCGCCCGGTTCTATACCACGCCTAACCTATCGAGGCCTTGAGTGGTTTGCCCCTCCAAGACCCGGGGCTTAGGTTGCCGGTTACTATCACTGAACGGCAGGTCGTCGTGGCTACGGGACCCGCCCCGTCTGCTGTTCATTACACACTGGTGTGTAATAAGAAATGGATATCCCCTTGTCTAATAAGGATCATGCGATCGTGTTCTGTCGAACCGTTCGGAAGATGAGCGACAACACTTTAGGGTAACTGAAATCTTCAGATGTTACCGGAGTAAGTAACCCGAAATCCGAAGAACTGGGCGGAGAAATTCAGCGACGTAACCGAAAGCTGGCATGGGTTCCAAACTTATTTTTTATGCAGCGAGTTCCTGAGAGGGAATAAGTCGGTTTCATGGAAGTTTCAGATGGAATTTACCCAACAGGACAATCCGAAACGAATTGGAAGACAGAGAAATAGTTCTGCTGTCAGAGACGAGCACTATCGGGGGCCTGGAGTCCAAACTGATCATTCTGACCCACGTTTTCCGTAGTCCTTCAAGTCGGCCGTTTCGACCTAGCAAGGGGTCTCTTTTGATATATCTGTATCTGGGCTTCGAAGAGCAGTCCCCAATCACCGGAGCCATAGGCGTTAAGTGAGTATGAAAATTTTTCGCTCCCGAAACAAAGCTGCCTTATCGTGCTGTTCGAAATCAGGTTAATCTTAATGACACCGATGCACAAAGAATCCCGACTCTTATCATCCTCGATGCTTAGTGGCCATATTCCACAACCAAGAGTCAGTATCCGGGAAAATGGCAGTTCAGAAGATTCGGAAATCTGTCCGAAATGCGGTCTCATTACCTCCATAATGTCATGCGATGTTGCAGAAACGCCCTTCCGGTGTTTTCCATGCGAACTCCAACTTTGTCTCGGTTCTGCCCATTTGGGTATCGTGAGTCCTGGATATTAGAATTGGTGAACAAATTTAATTGACCGGTGATAGACACGTACTGGAGGGGGTGTAAGAAAAAAGCATGTTGATCTCCAGTCCTGTGGTATTTGCGAGAAGCGTTACACGATTCCGAATTGGCTGTAGGGCAGCTGAACTGTCTGCAACAATGGCGAAGTCATACGCGAATTATAAATCGGTTACAAAATGTCTGACGTCGGAATAATTGCTGAGTGCCCGGTACATTACCAAATCGGTGTAATTTCGTAGCACTGGTGACGGAGAAAAGCCTGTCGAACACCGATGAGGTCCAAACTGACGGTATCGGTATGGAGTCGATCCGGTTCACAGCGCGACCATTGTTTGAGTATCAAACAAGATGAACATCTGGAGTGTTAGAGGCGACTAGCCTATTTTAGTTTGTAAAACTGACCAGAAGTTTAGGGATACGTGTGACAACTTCGTTGTCCCGTCACTTCAGATGTCACCGACAATGGGATCGTCGCCCTTTTGGAAACAGTTCACTACTTTTTGTCCCTGTCAGGACTCGTACCGCGATCAGTCGGGTCCGGACTTCAAATCCTTGTGCTACACGGCCGATGGTCATCACTGCTGACGAGTCACAAACCGGACGAAACAGCTGTCCAGTGCTCTTTGTTGGTTATCACAATCATTTGCATCGTATTTGAATGCATTGTCTCGTGGGGAATTAACGATTTCCCAAGGAGTGAAGCCCGCACACAAGACCATCAAGAGTGCCTGGTGCCTCTGAACAATGGAATGGGCTAATCCAAGCTTGATACTCTAAAGTTCGTTACTACCTCCAAAACATCGGTTCAGCTTGGATAAATCTAACCGAAGGGTTACGAAATAGAATAATACCTCAGAGATTGGTCAATATTTTGACACGAGGATGCATTTCCAACTCTGGTGATACCAAACACCGACTGTAGGGCATCACGATAATACCGAGGCATTGGAGAGCAGTTGGGGCTTTGAAATCTGAGTTATCTATGAGCGTCAAACAATCTACCAGGGTTTCATCACCTTTGACTTCAGAAACCGTGGAATAATGAGTTGAGTGAAATGAATACGACAAACTGAGATAGAAAACATGCTCCATTCTGACTTAGTATTTCTGTGATCCGTCACATACGTATCGCCAATAATCAAGGAAAGAAAAAGTAACCAGTTCATCATCATGCATGTCGTGTTACGGCCCTTCAGACTGGTTCGATCGATGGCATGAGACACTGAATGGTATGTATCAGAGTGGTGAACAGTAAGACTTCTGTCCCTCCTCGCATTCTTAGCGCATTCAGTTATTTCACATCTTACCACTCAACCAGACTTCTGTTTATTTTTAGTCCTTTCCATATTTGGTTGACTAGATGAATCAAGATAGTAACCAAGCCACGAGTGTGAACAATTACTGATTGCACCAAATGAAACTAAGGAGGGAGGAGAGCTACCCAAAATGGAACGTCTTCATTTCCTTGCTGTTCCCGTATTCGCGCTAGTAGAGTTAAGGGGATTGGTCAAAGAATCGTGCCCACTTAGTTAGGCATTCCGAAATCAGTTGAGGAATAAAAGTCATCACAATGTTTGAGCGTGGGTGCAAGTCTGCACGCGCGTGAAGGAATGTATGCACTGAGTTGAGAAATAGAGAGAGAGGAAAAAAGTGGCAGAACAAAGGCAATGGTGAAATAGAAAAAGAATTCAGTCAAGATCCAATACAAAACCATTGAGTGGTTTCACAGGAATCCGGTGCCATGATATGAAGATATGATGATGACAATAGTCAGCCCAGACTAACACGATATGCGTTTCAGGGCATCGAACGGTTGAACACATGTTCGTGAGCGATATAATTGATGACCAGTTCTGACGCGTACGCGTGGGAATGTGCAGTGGTAGTGTAAACGACCGGGCGGCAAAGAAAGACTGCGTTTGGGGGTCTTGATATCAGACAGAGAACAGAGCATACATAATCGTTTCTAACGGGATAGAAAATGAGGCAAGACAGAGAGAAGATAACGAAAAAACCGACAGTCAGGGGGGGGGAGCGTCAACCGGTGTTCAGATGTTATTCGTTGGTTCGCTTATTTAAAGTAAAATGAGCTAGTGATCAAAACAAGAGGATTGTGCACTTTGGAACGAGATAGGGCGGCAGCAGCACAAGCAGTGGGCGGTATTAGACGGAGTGGGGAGGAGTTGTGCGTGAGTGTAGCCATGTGAAAATAGTGGGATGGAAACAGACAAATGGACACAACCAAGTGGTGTAACATCGGGACGGCGAGAAGGGAGGCGAACATGTGTAGGCTACGCGCGATTAGCGCGTCGACAGATAGTACGTGTCGCAACATATCACACCGGTTCTTCAACGGTCATCAATAGTGGATTGACGTATTCAAAACCTTCGAACTCGGTCTGATCGATTTTGGAGACCACTTCTCTGAAATGACAAGCGATCGAGAAAAATACCGAGGGGATCAGATAGGAAATAAAAGCGTACAATAACACAAAGCATACTATCATTGGGAATGTAAGACAAAACGAAAAAGGGAAACTTTCTAATGATTTGCATGACATGAAGTGGGACAATTTTATTGCGACGGGGATATTACCATGAAACCGGCTTTATTACATGGCATCCAGACCCCGTACCGGCAATATCACTGTGATGGACAGCTAGCATCTCCATGGTGCTTTTGCGTAGCGGTGGTGCAACTTATCAGAGTCCGTTTGGTCAATTTTCTTTCCAAATGCTCGTATTGCGCCATGTGCTTGCTCACATCACTCGTCAATAGACTTTGAGAATACAGAGTGACATGAATCGAGAACAAGCTTGTCTGCTGTTGTGTTTCATTCAACAAACTCACATCAGTCGATGATGGAGAATTTTGGAAGTGAAAGGCAGGGGTCAAATGGATACCAGCTAAAGCTGAAACGCTAGAAATAACCATACCAACAATATTACTACTACATGCTCTTCACGTGATTTGTTGACCCATAATTGGCCTGCTACGGTATGGAGCAGGAATGATGAATGGCGGCGAGACTGCGTGATGATAGAACGCTATTTTGCATACACGTCA